AATTTCATTAGAAACATCCCGCTTGACTTTGTTTTATTCATTTTCTAATTTTATTTACATAATTTAAACAGGATTGTATTTTACATGTGTGCTAGCTTATTGATCGCCGGTATGTAAAAAAACAACATTTTTGGGGTTATAACGGCTCTGGTCTACCTTTCTTTTAAACAAAAGGAATTTACTGATTTAAATGCCGCATGGAATCGTCACATCACTTTCCTTTATTCTTCCGGCATTTTCTTTGCATTATTTGTCGTGGTAGGAATGTCACAGTGTGGCGCGTAAACCCAAAGCTTATTTCGGAATCCATTCAAGGAGCTGTTGGGTTGACATTCTCCAAACACAATTTGTCTTCCTTGATTTAATGGTTTAATACGTCTCACCATGAGTGGTAAACTTTTTATTGTTATATAAGTAATTTGAAGTACATTTTACAATTTATTATTATTTCTATGACACTGCCAGAAAACGCTAGTTTAACTTCTTCACTAAACAATTTTCCTGAAAATAGACTAGAAGATCTGCTTATGACACAGTGTTTTGTATACCTAGAGGAAGTAGAAAATTAAACTGAATTGTAAAGTTAGTACGGTTAGTTATTGTAGTGTTCGTTAATTTAGGTTACAAAATTAATGCTTAAGATTGTATATTATAATTTTAATGAGGCAAAAGCTGAATGCGGATCAAGTTAAATTTTAGGGCGTAAGGCATAAGGCATTGGAAAACTATAAATACGAGACTATACTTATATTTGAGTTATTTAGTTTCCCAAATTATGAAATTGCCGGTTTCGAATAATAAAAGATTTGGTTGAGACTTGTTTGTAAAATATTTCGTTGTTTTAGAGAGTACGATCACAAAAAATGCAGTCACCAGTACAGTGTTAAGTTGATATGTCACAACTGCACAAACTACCGAACAACTGCAAAGGTAAGAAATCACAAACTTTTTATCCTTAGTTCGTACCTATGTAATTTATTTTATAGCATTATTGATATATATTGTAAGAATGGAAAAAAAGGGCGGAAGAACTATTAGGGGAAGATCAATTTGCGTTTAGAAGAAATAGAGGAACGCGGGAGGCCATTCTATTCGTTTTTTTACATTATTTTACGTGTAGTAATAGAGAAAACGATATAAAAAGGAAAGAGTGCGTACATAGGATTTGTAGATTTAGGAACAGCTTTTGACAATGTTAAATGGGACAAGATGTTAAATATACTTAAAAATGTAGGAATGAGTTACAAAGACAGAAGAGTGATATTTAGTTTGTATAAAGAGCAATAGAGAAGTAAATATTAGGAAGGGAGACAGACAGGGATGCACACTGTCACCGCTACGTTTTAATCTATACATCGAAGACGCGGTCAACATCATTAAAAATTGTATAATTCGAAAAAGATGTTAAAGGTTTGGAGCGCGGTGCTGTACGGGTGCGAAACATGGGCGGTGGGCGTTGCGGAAAAGAAAAAGTTAGAAGCGTTCCACAGGTGGTGTTACAGGCGAATGATGAGGATACCGTCGATAGAGCAGGTTAGAAATGAAGAGATATTAGAAAATAAGAACTAGGCGAGATAGGTTACTATGACACCTTGTCAGGCATGAAGATCTAATTAGAGACATATTAGACGCAGAAACGGGAATTAAGAGGGGTAGAGATAGCCCTAGATTAGATTACTGTTCGAAAATAGTGGATGTATGAAAGGAAGTGGTTTGTTCTAGTTCAGCTCAGGATAGGAATTAGTGGAGGTGCGTGTCCAATCAGTATGGACTGATGACCTTATGATGATGATGATTGCGAGCAAACATTGATTTTCCTTCTTTAAAAGTAAAATATTGTCGATTAATTTCTGGGAACTGAATATAAGTATTAAATACGAAAACTTTAAAGTATTTTTTTTTCAAAATTTCAATTTTATCTGGAACTAACAATAAGTAAGTTTTGTTTTGCAATTTAACTCCATCATCGAGTTAATTTTAACTCAAAATGAAACCAACAACCTCTCTACACCTTTACACTTTTTAAGGTTCAGTGAGTAAGATTATGTATGCAGATGTATCCCCAAACAGTCAGCCTGTTCTAAATAGGTATCGTTCATCTCCTCCAAAGGTTTTCGCTGCTGTCAGGTAGATAAGTTATCGAATTACCAAAAGCGGCGTTATCTGATACTGAATTTAGGTATCATTTATATATCTGTTTTTTAGGAGTAAAGTTAAGTGAATGCTAACAAACCATTTGTCGGTGCTTTATTGTATTATAGAATGTTTGCTAAACTTATATATTTATAAATTCACTTAGATCAAAACAACAATTATGTAAACAAAAATATCTAGTAGAATATGTACTATTCTGATTATAAACTTTATGCGTTAAGAATAATAATGGTCAAACTTACGATTAGCGAAAATGAAAGAAATGATTATGATAGTATTAAATAGTAGTACATCGTCATCTGCAGGTATTTACTACTCGTCATCATCATAGGGTCGTCAGTCCTAAGACTGGTTGGACACGTACCTCTACTCTTTCCTATCCTGAGGTAATCTTCGCATTTTCCCAAAACTAGAACAACCCACATCCTTAACTATTTGCGTACAGTAATCTAATCTAAGTCTACCTCTACCCCTCCTAACTCCTGTTTCTGCCTCTAATATGTCTCTGACTAGACCTTCATGCCTAAGAAGGTGTCCTACCAACCTATCTCGCCTATTTTTTATTGACTTCCATAGAGTCCTCTGTTCTCCTATTCTTTCCAATACCTCTTCATTTCTAACCTTTTCTACCCACGATATCCTCATCATCCGCCTATAACACCACATTTCGAACGCTTCTAACCTTTTCTTTTCCGCCGCTCCCACTGTCCATGTTTCGCACCCGTACAACGCCGTGCTCCAAACATACACCTTTAACAACCTTTTTCGAATTTCTAAATTAACCGTTCGCGAGCATAGAAGTGACTTCTTTTTATTAAAGGCGACACGACCCTGCGCTATCCTCTGCTTTATATCCCTACTACTCCTTCCATCCTCACTTATCTGACTTCCTAGGTATCTAAAATCAGCCACTTCTTCTAATTTTTCGTCTCCTATCTTTATATTCGCTCTTTCCCTACTTTTTCTTCCCTTGCATATCAGTATTTTAGTTTTACTTTTATTTATTTTCATACAGTACTGATCTGTCAGTACCGCTTCCATTTTATTTAAAGCTATCTCTAGGTCCACCTTGCTAGATGCTAATATTTACTACTATTTGTAGTTTATTTCCTATAATGGTAAGAACAATAACATAATACAAATACAGGTATTGCGAAAAATAATGTTGGTTTGTTGAGACGTAGTCACAGAAAATGCTTAGCTTTATTTGAAGCAAAGCATTCCTATTTTTCTTGAATATTTGGTACGGTTAGAACACACGAAAACAGCCTTTTCAATAACTGCATTTAATATGGTTGATAGCCAGCGGTCACTTACAAAACTGCCAGAAAATTCTTTTTGCGGTCTATTATTAAAAATTAATGTAATAATTTAGTTCATCTACTGACAAAATCGCTATTTTCTGATCAGCCAATGATAATAGAACAAATAATTCCCTGGTTTTCTAAGCTACCTGCTGTAATCCCTTTTTCTAGTATAAAACTGCCAATTTAGATGGACTGCATTTAATTAGGATAATTAGTGTGTAGCTTACGTTTCATTTCATCATGAACCGCCACTGCTGAATGCTGTTCCAAGACCTAATGTATTAATATCAATTTTTCACACGTTTTCTGTAGCTACATATTTGATATATACAGATACGTTAGTAAAATTAAGAGAAACGGTAAGAGATAATCTCTTGGTCGCAAATAGAATTGTAAAATTTGGAGTTGTATCTGCGAAATCTGAAACATTTAATGATAAAAGTGACTTAATTTTTTCTGCTTACGTGCGCCTACAGAAGTTTCATATAATTGTTAAATTTCACATCTTCTAATTTACGAAATTCTAATATTTTTGTGAAAAAGAAAAAAATGATAACAAAGCAAAATAGAGTTTTTGAAAGATTTATAAAATAGATGAATTACCTTATGCATATTAAATTCCACTTTAATTCATTAAAAATAATGTTGTTAATTAATTGTCGACTGTCATCTAATCCAATTTAGCTACTGTGAAAGACTTTCTATTCAAAAACAACCAATTAGCACATATGTACTAATTTATCTTCTATTACCAAATCTAACATATTTATTAGTAGTACCACGCTATGCCTACACTTCTTTTATTTCGTGTGCCTTTTTATTGTGCATATTACAGAATGATCTTTATAAAATACGTAAAACATCTACCTGTTTTCACGCATGAATCGTTAACAATCATACTGTTTTTGAGTTTACTATTGTATTCAAAATATTGAACATGGAAATTTAAGTATAAATGTGTACAATAAGTACACAGGCAGGGACTTTTCTTTGTATGGGTTAAAAGTTGTTCAAATGATTGTAGATTCTATGTTTATTTCCTTCTTGTTGATTGACAGAAAAATCGCAAAAAAGTCGATTTAGGCAAAGTTCTAAATTTTGGTTTAGGAGTGGGCTATCACATAGACCAGAACTTTCAATGTAAAAACTTTGACCTATCCTGAATATTAACTCGCAGGTACGACCCTGTATAAATGCAGCTATAATTACTTTAATAACAAGCACCCGCTAAATACATTTGATTTGCATCTTTCGGACAGTTAAAAAATATGTTTGTTTATTATTTTAATTTTCATTATTATTGTACTTATAGTAATTGATACATATTTACATAAAATATACTTCTATTTAAATATTGGAAAGTATATTTATCAAGTTTTTTTAAACTGCATCGTTACAATTTATTTTATTTAACTTAAATATAATTTGAAAATGAAATATGACTTTTACGGTAAGAAATTATATTGTTTTCAATCAAAGGTAACTTTTATTATCTATTACGGAATATAGCGACTGTATGAACTTTAAAATTAAACTTACCACTGCATGGTACTAGGAAAACGAATAAGCCGATACGTTTTTGCGGGAAATTTTACTAAATGTTCCGTAAAACTTTTAGATAATTGCGTTATCGCAATAACTTCGTTAACGCGCGCGAAAATGAGTAGAGCGATATCGCCAATATTCAAGCGCGAGACGACTGGCAACTTTTCGGACTTATGCTGCTTGAAACTTACCGGAGTCATGCGCATCAATAAAACATGTAAACTTTTTCAACAGGCGCATCTACGATGGATGCTCTTCGACAAATTACATTTCAAAAATTACAAACTATTTCTTAATTTCTTGGTTACTGAAATATATGAATATATATATAGAAGAAAGTCAGAGTTATTAAATCACTATTCTTGAAAAAAATTGATAGAGTTGACCTGTGTTACATGAAAGTTAATAACATTAACTGATATTTATTGATTTGATTTTCAGACTTTTTTAAATTGAATTTTACAAAATGTTACCTACCTCTTGATGACCTATTGCCCTTAATAAATCAAATAATTAGGTGCCTATATAGAAACACATGCAACTGTAGTAAATATTTTATATACCTAAATGCATTCCAACTATAAGAGGTTGTCGTTTTCTGAGAAACATTGTCTAATGTTCAAAATCTGTGCATAAAACTTTAAACATTCTCATAATTGGTGAATATAGCCTGTAAAATTGATTGTAATAAAACTATAAAGTTGAAGTAATAAAACTTTTATGTATGATTTCCTCTTCTGGGGACCAGTTGTCTGGGCAATAGTTCGTGGTCACAAAAAATTGTAAACGTATCTTCCTAGAAAGATGTCTCTACAATCACTATAAAAGCATCATTTTTCTCATCATTTCTGTCATTCTTCCTTCATTTTTTCTTTAATTTGAATTTTTCTCGTTGTATTTTCTACATCCGCAAAAGCTAGGTTGAAAAGAGCCGTACTCAGAGGACATCCTTGTCTTACCCAGTTAATCGTGCTAATTTTTTCAGTAATTTTTTCATTGATTCTCACTTTAAATGATGTTGCTTCATATATTTCTTCGATTCTTTTCCTTCGTTCGTTCGCATTTATAATATTAGTTAGAATTTTGTGTTATTTCGCTGATCAAGATCATAATAACTCGAAATTAATTCGAAACTCTCCTGGGCTGCACATTTTAATTACATCCGTTGTCAACCCTACGTTGTAATTAGTTTAAGAAGAGTGTGCTCCGTACAAACAACGGGTGGAAATTAAGGCGCACAGAGAAACAGTTTCACATTTTTACGTATTAATTAGCTCCTTAAGTAATGCCTTTTGTCTTAGGATAATGAAGGATACATTTTTATTATCTCCGTTTTATGGCAAAATTATTAAAAATTTGCCGATTTTAATTCACGAGAGATTGTTATAAACTTTTGTATAAAACTATTACGCAGATATATAGAGGGTGGCCCAACAGTGCATTGAAGTACAATATAAAAATGCTTTCACGTATCTTTTTTTTGTTGAGAAAATGCTTTCCGCATGAACTTCTAAATTCTTTTCCGTATTGTCCTTGTAAAAAAAACTCAGAAATCTAATGTAAGTACAATCAATATTGTGAGCTCAGAGTTCCTGAAATTATTAAACCTGCTTGCAAGAAAAAAAAATAAAATTAATTTTTAATCACCCTAATATACAATATATATCTACCTATGTATGTCGGTATTTATATTCAATGCTGCCACCAAAAATGTAAATTACATGCCTGACTTGAATAATGCTAAAAAAACTCAGGATTTATTCTCCACTCTTGTTAAACAGTTTTTGTTAGTATTTAGGTCATCTATATTTGCTGAAAAATGTCACATTGTTTGTATATCATTCGCGAAAAATCACATTTTGTCCTTTTTGACGTGGCTTTTAAAAACTTTCTGTTATATACAACCATTACAAGTTATCAATCTCCTTGTTAGTTAATTAAATGAATTAAATGACTGCAGTAGACAATAATTCGACATTTTTTTCGGCTAGGGGTTCCGTACATTGCATGCTTTTTGGTGAACTATTTTTACGCACGATCTACATCCCAATTTGTATATAAAATATATAGATTTTAGTGGTAAGCAACCATGGACATTACACTACAGTATCTTTGGGAAAACAAACTGTTTTATAAAAATTTAATTACAATTATTTATTCATTTACTATTCGCCAACTACACATATTACAATAAAAATAGGTAAAACGGAACAATATTTTACTGGCATTATTTCGTCATTGTCCTCAAATAATCGTAATATGTAAATAAAATTCTTTCTTGCGTAAATGTTTCAACGGATCCAGGCCTTTGTAATCGCACATTTGTTAAAGCTCTGTCAGGGGTTAAACTGAAAAAATACATTAAATAGCACGCAACCATAACGCCGGTTCTTCCTCTGCCCATCCTGCAGTGTACACCAACAGGCTAGAATAAAAAGTAAACAGCGGTAATTAAGCTACTTACACAAACAACGAATGTACATATAAAATCCAAAGCTTATTCGTATCTACACAAGTTCAATCAAAATTGGGAGACAATATTAACAATGATCTTCAATAATTCGAATTACGTATTTATTGTTATTTGCGATTGAACCAGGAGTTCCGCCCTCCAGGAAGCAACAGAATTTTACTTCAGTACCAACACCAGTTATGAGCTCTCGACTGATCGTGTGCTTATGCCCTAAAGCAATGCTACAAAAACATATTTACAATTTAAATAGGCTTCTGTTGATATCGTTCGATAAGGGAATTCTTTTCTTTTAAATCAAGTACGCTTCTTTGTCATCATCATTAAGTTTTCCACCCCAAAGACTGGTTGGACGCGCACCCCCATTTATTCTTATTTTGAGTCATTTTTCAAGAACTAAAGCAACCTTTAAAAAATTGCGAATAGTAATATAAACTAGATCTTCTTCTACCTCACTTAATTCCTGTTTATGCTTCTAATATGTCTCTAACTAATCTAATAATATTTCAGATAACATCTAATTTAACAGGCGTACATCTTTTTAAACAAGTATTATTCGAGTATGCAAAAGAACAGACAAGGGTAGCAATAACTACAAATAATTACAGATAGCGTAGCAGCTAAAGGTATTTTGATTTTTTTTCTACAGTCAATGGTATTGAAGATTCGCCTAATCTTTTAAGAGTTCAAATTGATATTATATCAAATTGACCTATATAAGCTTTCTTTGGTGCATTATATTATAAATCCAAAATATAATTTGCAGGGGCGGCTTTTCGGGGTGGCGAACAGGGCAACCGCCCGGGGCCTCGCTCTTACAGGGGCTTCGCACACTTGCGCAACAATCTAATTAGAAAAATATTAGGTAGTAATAGTACATACTACTAATGTTTATTTGAATTTCTTAAAAGTCTTAAAAGAAGCCGCAAATTTGCTATCTTTGTCTTTATCAATTTTTTTTAATTTTTGATAAACAATTTTAAAACTGTAAACTTATTTATGAATCACTTTGCATTTTTCAAATATCATCATTAAAATTAATTCCACAAAGACGAGGGCCTCGCAAAAATTTACCCGCCCGGAACCTTCCAAAGACTAAGGCCGCCCCTGATAATTTGTTAAAATCAGTATCAAAATGATATGAAACTGTTAATTAGGTAATCTTAGGTGTCATAACTACGCCACTGACCAGGAATTCGCGCATAAAATTAGCATATCCTACAATGATGGTGAAATATTTAGTCACTTACCTCTTTTTTATTTTTGGCATTTTCGCAAAGACTAATAAATGTTTTAATTTGATCGGTGGTCGGAGGTTCGAATTCTTCTATAGCTATTTCGTGGTATTGAATTCCGTTATCCGTCTGATGATAAGGCCGGGTATCTGGTGATAATGTAACTAGATGTTTTATTCCGACACTTTTCAAAAATAAAATATGACTTTTCTTGTACGGGCACGACATGGCAGCAAGGACATCTTGAGTGATCCATGAAAAGTTCCATGGCTCTTCAATCTCATCTTCGGATGCACTTGCGTTTTGTGCACTTCTTGTACTCATGAATAAATTAATTTCCTTATTACACTTGCTAGACGTTTATTGAGACAAGGCGTTTAAGTTTAAATGCTAACCTCAATTTTTGGAAATAAAATCGATGCTTATTCGAAATGATTTGGAGCAAATTACGAAGTAATCTATTGAATCAAAGAAATTGAAGGGCTTGTTGAGTTTCCATTTGTTCTGCATATCTACTACATTTTACAGTTTTCCATGAAAATAAATTTTGCTTAATTATTTCCGCACAATATAATGCACTTGCACCCAGTGACGTAACATGAAGTTTTTCTAACAGATACAAAATAATTGAGGATCGCATTTTCGGTGTCGAATCGCGCTTTAGGATTTTAAACGCTTTTATAGGAAATTTTTGAGTTTTTACGGAAACTCTATTTCTTGAATGAATGAATGAATGAATAAAGGATTCCTTAAAAGACCAAAGTTTTCAATAGAGTGTAAGCAATTCAAAACCACTATTATTTTGAAAATTAAATTGGTAATTCATAAGGCAAATATTATATTGTAGCGAAAAGAACTCGTTACTAAAGACACTAAAATATTAAAAAGTTAAAAACGTTAGTAATCATTCAATAAAAGTGTTCACCGGATCATGATTAGATTTTTCAGTTATATTTTAATTTCTTCCTTTTTCGATCCATCGTTATTTACATGCTACAGAATTCTGCGATTATAATAAACTAAATCAATGAAAATAAATTATATCTTTTATCCAACCTGTCTTTAATGGGTACAAAGTAACAAACGGTAAGGAAAAAGATATTTAAGTATAACATTAACAGATCTCCATATATTTAAATAAAAAGTAATGTGGAGTTCTGTTGAGTTTTTTGAATTAATGTGCCTAATTAATAATTCTGTAAGTATTTCTTTTTTACAAAACGGAAATTTAAAAATTAAAACACTCGAAATTTTCCCAATTTTATTGCCACCTAGGCATATCATTGTGTCTTCTTTAGAATTCAATTTTAATGAAATACATTTCTAACTCTTGAAGAAGCTACAACTTGGCGAAACATCGTACCTGGTATGATAAGTTGACAATTACATTGTGTGTGCTTTAATTTTTTATTTTATTGCGATTTTCCATCAAGTAAAAGTAGATACAATTTATTATATTTCTTTTCCTTTTGGAAAATACGACAAATGGCGTTGTAAACGCCATCTGTAGTGCAGTGCTACATTTTAGAATTACGTATGCTTCAGCAAGGTCCATTTAAATATATGGATATCTACTTGCTGAAACGAATCCCGGCGTAGCTCACCTCAACGTGGTAGAAACGTTACCATAATCGAATAAAATAATTCGAAGTGGCTGCCTGCGACGCGCTGATGAGATCCAAAAACATCGAAATCGCGATCCGCGTTTGGCAGTTTCGACAGAATACAGACCACTTCGAATTATTTTATTCTTTTCCTTTGATTTTTTTGATTTTCTTATGACTTGACATTAGTAGATAATAAATAGGAAGGTACTTACAATTTTTGTAACGTTTTCAGTTTCATCCCACGTTGATTGGTACCTGTTTACTTACCTCAATTTTCACTGAAAAGCAAAATACACCTTTGTATTGCCTTAGAAAGTATTAATTCGACTTGTTTTTTGATTTGATCTAGTTTTATTGCTAATAAGTCATACAAAAGTAACCCTAACCAAATAAATAGGCAAACAGTGGTCAAAAAAACAACAACTTCTAAAATGGAACATTGAAATTACAGCAGGTAGCGAAAGTACACATTTTATCACTTAATATTCGTCTTCTTCGTAATCGTAACCGAAACTTGGTTCTTCGTCATCCCCATGGCCTTGTTGGTGCTGTCGCAACATGTCCAACATACCCATTTCCGGTTCTTGTGTCACTGGTTCTTCCTCAAAGTCCTCTGCGATGTCCTCCTCCATTGCTGCAACAAGTTCTATGTAATTTTTTAAAATTTCTACGAGCACCTTTTTGACTTATTCTGCATTCCTTGACTTCGACTTAATTAACGCGATAAAAATATATAGCTATGAACAAAATCATTATTTATTGTTAAGGAAACAAAAAACTACTTACCATTTTCCATTTTATCATCTTCATTTTTAGATTCAGTTGCTTTTTCTTCCTCTTTCGTTGGTTCGGATACGTAAACGGGTAAACCTATGGACTTTTCTTTTTTCTTTGTAGATCGTCGTTCTATGTTTACTAAATGTTTCGATTTTTTTCCTACGTTTTCAGGTACAGTAATCTCTGAAGAAGAAGTAGGTTCGCTACAAAAAAAATAGATTTATTAGTTAAACGTTTGCTATGTTTGGAGTGTCTTTTATTTAGACTTTAAGTCTTCTCCTGCATTTTATTGCAGTAAACTATTAATATTAATTAATATTTTACCCTTGCGGACTTTTCGGGAGTTCCACCGGCACCTCCTTTTCACCATCTCCTTCAGGTTTCAAGGCATTAAGTGTTTTGAGGACGTCGTAGTTGATTTTTGACGAAACTTTTTTCCCTTGCAATATCTTTTCAATCGCTTCAGTAGCAGAACTGGAAGGCCCTGTTTGATTATTTCGTCTTCTAGTCGTACGTCGTCTTTTCTTCTCTGGCTTACCTTCTTCTTTTTCTTTTGCTAATTTCTCTTGTTTTACTGGAAACCGTACATTTACATTAACAATAATTTGCTATCATAAATTTAAAAGTACAGTGAATTTTGGTTATAACGATGTATGTCACTATAACCGATACAGTTGAAATCGTTATACCGTTGAATATATGAATATACGCTCAAAATTCAAGCTACAAATACTGACGTCGTTATAACCGGAAGGGCGTCACAATTCATGCCGCTATAAGTGAAATCCACACTGTACTGCAGCAGGTTATTTTTAAAAGTAAAGTCGTCGTTCTTACTTTTTTGTTCCTCTAAATAAGACGCATTCAGTTTATGCCAAAGTCCATCTTTATGTTGGACTTCATCTTCATTCATTATGTACGCGTCCAACTCTTCATCGTCGACATCGTCCAGATCTATTTCTATCTCTGTTTGTGTGTTTGCAGGAATTGTTCTAGTATCATCTAGCGATTTAGCTAATCCCATACTACTTATATTGGGACCTATTATAAAATACAGTTGGTACATACATACACCAAAAAATAATACACAAAAGTATAATTCTATAGATGCTATAAATTTGTCTATTTGTGTAATCAGGCTTTTTAATAAAACGCTAATGATTAATAAAATCCTACAATATGGCGTCTTACGTCCGCCATATTGATTGATTCATGCCGTCACATAACCTAACATTTGTAATACCTACCTGCTTGATCTACGCCTCGAACAATTTGAAATTAATGATAATAAATAATAAATAAATAAATAAGTTAAGTTAAAAAACAAGAAACTCTCTTTAAATGTGTTCGCAACTTTATTGAAGGTTTTTGAATGCATGTAATAAGGTATTTCAATAATCTTTAAATATTTTGCAATTAGCATCAATTTTACTGCATAAAACACTTGTAAAACATGCAGTTTTTGCCATTGCTCATTTATAGTATTACGTGAAATTTCAATAAGTGTACATTGCCTTGTGTCGTGTCGGAAAGGAACAAAAAACAAAGGCCACGCGCGTTTCGATTTTATGATTTAGGAGGAATCCTACTTACCCAACTCAAGTACGTGCTCTTCAGTGCTTGGGTCATCAACATTCCCTTCTTTTATTATTTGCGAAATGGTCCCAATGATTTCCTCTTCGACGAAACGATTTACGTCGTTGATGTCGTTTGGACTTTCTTTTTCCTTGGCTAAAATCGGCCCTTGATATACAAGGATACCAATTCTTTTTTATTTGCATAACACTCATGTAATTTGGTTGTGAATAACGGACAAGAAAAATGAAATTTCACCGTCAGATTTTAAAAATAGGTTAGTCTACAAAAAGCTGTAGATATACTTAAATCAATATCGCCGATTGCCTGTTTGTAGTAGTATATTAAGTAAATTTCCCTAAAATTTGTCAAGAATAATTGTATCTGCTGTATCAACGAAGGGCTATTTTTGGCAACTATTGTTTTTTAAATGATTTTATTAAATCGGCTAAATCGGTTTCGTTTTCAATATAACCTAGCCGCAACTGTGAAAATTTCTTAATGATAATCACAATTTCTAGCTTTGTACTTACCTTTTGTGGGTTTTCTTGCCCTTTTGGTTTTATTTTCCAGATGATTTTCTATTTGTTTTTGTAACTCAGTTAAATTGTCTCCTTCTTCTTCCATCAACTGTGTTGTAAAAAATGAAACGACTATTTGAATATTAATCTACACAATTTAATTCATAAATATTGTATTAAGAAACCACCAAATTTCAAACTTGAAAAGGAAAATCTTACTTCAAGTAAAATAAAATTAATTTTCTTTTCTGTGCTTAACACGATCGTTTAATTTTTCGTCCTTTTCGAAAAAGGATTGTAATATTTTGAACGGTTACCTTTTTGACTTTTTGAGAGCCAATAGCTATTTACGAGGGTGGATTGATAAGTTTCCGGCCTGACCAAGAAAAACAAGGTTTTTAAAAATTTTTTTTTTTTATTTCTCAACATAATCTCCTCCAAGGCTGATACATTTCTCATAGCGGTGTTCCAGTCTATTAATGCCATCTCTATAGACTGATTCGTCAAGCTCCTCAAAATAACCATTTACAGCTTCGATTACTTCTTCATTGTCCGCAAATCTCTTACCGCCAAGCCATTTTTTGAGATTAGGGAACAGAAAATAGTCACTCGGGGCTAGGTCTGGAGAGTAAGGAGGGTGCGGCATCAATTCAAACTTTAGATCGTTGATTTTAGCCGTCGCAACGATTGACGTGTGCGCTGGTGCGTTATCGTGATGAAACAAGATTTTTTTCTTCGCCAGATGAGGTCGTTTAATTTTCACCTCGTGGCTCAAACGTTGCAATAAGTCTGCGTAGTATTGACCAGTGATAGTATTACCCTTTGCAAGGTAATCAATGTATATAATACCTCTTGCATCCCAAAAAACAGTAGCCATAACCTTGTTCGCCGAAAAAATTGTTTTTGCCTTCTTTGGAGTTGGTTCCCCTGGTCCAATCCACTGTTTAGACTGTTCTTTGGTTTCAGGAGTGTAGTGGTGGACCCACGTTTCGTCAACGGTTACGAATCGACGCAAAAATTCGCTTGGATTACGCTTATACAATGACAAATTTGCGGTAGAAATGTTTTTTCGAATCAATTTTTGGTCGACTGTTAGCAAACGCGGCACCCATCTTGCACAGAGCTTTTCCATATGCAAATGTTGGTGCAAAATATGTTGCACACGTTCATATGACATCTTACAGGTCTCAGCTATCTCACGCACTTTCAATCTGCGGTCTCCCAGCACTATTTGATGAATTTTTTCGATCATATCTGGAGTTGTGACCTCAACGGGGCGTCCTGAGCGAGGCCCATCAGAGGTGCTCACACGACCCTTTTTAAACTCGGAAACCCACTGCTTAACGGTTGAATATGACGGGGAGGATGTCCCCAGTGTTGAGTCCATCTCTTTTTTAATTTCCTTCGGCGTTAACCCCTTCAAATAAAAGTATTTGATGACAGCACGATTTTCCTGCTTTTCCATTTTTACGAAAACCACAGAGGCGTCTTGTTCAGCGTGCTGTCAAACCTACACTAGCAAGGAGATCGGGCTGAAACTATAGCTACAAGCTATCCAAGGATGGTACTATAGAATGTCACCTCAAGGTAGGCCTAGTGGCGTCATCTCTTGGTTAGGCCGGAAACTTATCAATCCACCCTCGTATATAATATATGCATTTATTTTATTTTAATTTAGATGCTTATGAAGTGAATTCAAAGAGGGTTATAGACCCTTTAACCAGCGACGTAAACAGGAGGGGGCGACAAAAGCCATCTGTCCCAAATTGGATTGAGCTGCATATTTACCACCTTAATATTTTTTAACACAGAAATGGGGTGGTACATTCAAAGTCAGCATCGCTTGTTACGCCACTTTCTTTATCCCTTTGCTATGTATCCTATGAGAAGATACTTACATACATCAGTCAACCTAACATGAAATTAAACTAAATACGAAATGTATGTGTTGAAAAATTAATAGAGTAATAATTAAATTTTTGCGCCATAGTAATCTTTTTACAAGATCTACATCGATAGATCGTATCAGACATTCAACCCATAATTAAGTTATTTGTATGTTACCAATTGATGTGGTTCAAGAGTTTGAAGGTTTGAAGAAATACCTGTATAAATCTACCAAAGTTGCTAGTAGTCCTTTTTTATCATTGTATCTTCTTTAAAAGGAAACTGGACGTGGTTTCAAACTTTATTTAATGAGACAAGAATGGCTAGATAGAGACGCACTAGAAGTAGGAACGGGAGTGTAGAGCGGTAGAGGAAAACCTAAATTTCATGATTGTTCGAAAATAATACAAGGATGTTCTAGCTTTCGGGGAATTTGCAGGTGCATGTCGAGTCAGTCCTTGGGCTGACAACTGTATAATAATGACGATGAATTATGTCTACCTCAAATATGTAACTTACTTTATACACTAACCGTACATTCTGTTTCTTATTTATCCTTACTACCCATCACGTTAACGCTAACATAGTGATATTTTTTTACCTTTTGCAATCTTTCTTTATCCTTTTTCCTAGCAGCTTTAAAAGAAGGCGGGTCCTGTTCTTCTTCTAAATCAACTGTCATAAATTCTTCTAGAGTTAAACTGCTACTGGGCGTCTCTCCAAATTCGACCAGCCTGTAAATTTTTTGTAATTTCCAAAGTTCCAATTTAATTAATATTACTGTTATGCATCATTAAATATATGTGTAAGCAGTCCTTTCATATAAAATAGCATCCTACCTTGGAGTTTAGACAGTCGATTTTGAACTTCTTTTCAAATGAAAATATTTTTTAAAGTATTTCTGCTACGGAATTTTAATGAAATTTTGCTAGAGTGGTTCATTATTCAAGCATGCTTTCTTTGCACCACAAACCCTGCTCGCCAAGGCATGATGGTATGCTTTAAATTTCAGTATGTCCGTCACGGTCCATTAGCATAACTGACAAAAGTTTCTTTCGTTCGTGAAAGCAGCAACAATTTATTTAAAACTTTACGAATAGATCCATCACAAAAAAACAGATCTACCGTAACCGTCGAATAAGTACGGACAAAAATATGAACTGTTAGTAGGTATGCACGAAGATTAAACTACTATTGTCTGTATCTTTTCCTTACGGCAATATAAAGAAAGTGTAAGTATTTATAACATACATTAGGTACTGGAAACCCGAGAGTCGAACGAAAGGTATTCTATTACATGCAATGATCAAAGGGCGATATGATCTCTCGAAAAATACCACGTGATACAGGAAATGTCTTACAAATACCTTCAGCTACTTTTTCATATAAATAATAAAGTACTTAGTGAAATATTAATAAATGGGATTTAAAGCTTTTGAGGGATGATGTGCTTTCTATCAATGATTTTGAGAGTTCGGGTAGTTTAGGATAGTTTTCAGAAAAGCAAATAGACACACACACACTATTGAAAAAATATATTCCACATGATCGCCTAATTATATTTACTTTCGCCCTTGTGACATATGCAGACAAAGAAATTTGTAATTTCTATGTTCGGTAAACTTTTCACTTTACCTGCATGCTTTTAATATTGTGTGTTGTAGGTACTGTACTGTATTACTTTTATTTTCTCGCTTTTTAATAAAAAAAAGATGTATGATTAATCAGAACATTACCTTTTCCGTAATGTTGATCCATGGACTTTCACTATTTTCACTATGTCGCTAGGTGTTCGGTTGAATTCGTGAAGACGTGCTGCCATTAAAAGTGCTGCAATTAAAGAAAAACAAAAACGAAATTAGTTCAACAATTGAACAAACTTATTAAGAAAATCAAAGTTTCAATATTGGACAAATTATACCATAATAAAATAAATAATAAAGTGAAGATATGCGGAAATTATAAGTGAAGATGTGTTTCAAGATATCCGTGTAGAGCGGAATATATTTTATGGATTTAAACCTCAAAACGATGGTTTGACTTATTATTTATATTACAATTGAATCATTTACAAAATAATTGTACTTTTTCAGCTAAAAAAGTATTATCTAAACATTTTTTTTCACTCTTATTGTTTTTTTAATCAATAAAATGCGTCCAAATCGTTTAAAGATAATGCAACTTAAGTTATATACATATAACTTTGAAATTGCATCGGATATTAGGAAACGTAATCAATGTTAGATACGTAGTCATCAAAAATAGTTTACCTGCCCCACAAAGTCCAGAGGGTCTTCGACCTGAATGTATAGAATCACGTTTCATTCTTTGCACTAATCGAAGTGCTGTGTTCGCTACTTCTTGCGTTTTTGATCCAAATTCCAATTTTGCCGCAAAGCGAAGAATATATAAGCAAGGATCTGGAACCAAAAGAGAACAATATATGGGTACCTAATAATGTTAACAGTTAAACTTGAACAATTGTCTGTTTTGGTGCCTGTCTAAATACAAAAAATGTTGTCGACGTAGTAGTACCAGAAGAATACAGAGATTATTTCTGAAATCTGACATAAAGAATTCAGCTTATTAAAGTAATCAAATAAGTAAGGGGTCAGCAAACTTTTAAACTGGAATAGCCTTTATTAACAGAAATATTGAATTTTATCGGATTAGGAAGTGGCAATTAAATAAAAAATGTACGACATTATTTATTATTATTTATATTATTGCTAAGTTACAAAATATGGTATTATGCTAAACAAAACTGAAATTATATTAAAAAATCAATACCAACGGTGACCCTCACATTTCTATAAAATGTTTTGGTTAAGTCCGGCACATAAGTAGTAATGTTTAGTATAAGACTTGGCTCTAAACCTTGATTAGTTATTTGGCTTCCTAGCTTGTTCTTTATTAAGTTCATATAAGAGAAAACTTGCTCGCAAGAATATGTTGACCTAAAGATTGTCAAAACATTAAAAACTATCTTTTCATTTGGTCATAGCATCTCGGAAGACTAATTTAGGCATCGAAAATTAGTGTCTCAAGCTTAAGCGTCCCTTTTAGAGTTGCCCTTTTATGCTGCGATATCAAAAGACATTTCTGCCTTTCTAACTCTTTTAATCTACTATTTCGAACTCCACAAATTTTTGATTTCTAAATATAATACATAATTGGATTTCAAAAGAACCAGCTTTGATATTAAATTTCAGATTTTAATTAATAATAAAAAAAAATAATAATAATTGCATATACATAAAATAAAGCAGACATTAACATAGTTTTGCGTAACTGATTCAAATATTTGGCGACAACAGACACAGCACACAAGCCGCGTCATTGTTTGAATGATCCAATACTTGCCCATATGAATCTAAATAAAACGAATGCAAACATAAGCGATCGTCTTTGCATAATTTTCTAAGTAAATTAATTCTGGTCGTACCTATGCAAACCTTGCAGCAGCCGAATGATAACAACAAGCAATTTGCTGTTTGTTCAGTATCAACGCAGATAGTCTAATGATTATTAATAATAAAATTAGTGGAATAATATACCTATTCTATAAATCATTTTTTTGTACCTTAATAGCCTTTAATGATATTTCAGATTAATATAATTAGTTGATCCTTTTAAATGGCAAATTATTTACCTTTGTTGTTCTGATATAAATGCATCTAATTATCTTTCACTATAAATTGTAGGTGGCAACTTACCTCCTTCCTCGTTTTAATCACAATTAATTAATTATTCCAATTAGTACCTAATATTAGACTCACAATTAGAGTTTATTAGTAGATGCTTAGATAACTCTAACAGCGCAGCGTGGCACAATCTCATTAAACACAGTCAAATATTACGTACAAATGTGGAAACCTAAGAATTTATTGAAAGATAAGTTTGGACCATATCAGAACACCGATGAGATGTCGGCAATAATTTATTTGTACGACTAGTAATAAACGACTAGTATTTTGTAATAAATTGAAAGCAAAACTTATTGCTCGTAATAAATTTAAAAGATTTATATGTTCAATAAAATAAATTTTGTAACGATTGTGTAAAAACAGATATGTTCATTAATTTAATTAAAGTACACAAGTGACACATGTAATTTATCGGTTAAATTAAAAGCGGTAAGTACTACACCTTATTGTAGAAGGAAGAAGTATTTTGTTTTTTATTTGAAGATTTTTTGAAGTTGATAGGAGTACAAGATCCGAGAATATTTTTTTTTATTGTTGGACTCCTTTTTCAAGGAATTCAAAAGGTATACATTATCTTAGTAACACTGTTTTCTCTCCCTTTTTTATTTCAAAGAACGGTCATTCGTATAATATAAAAAGAAGGGAAAAAGAATGTTTTTTCATTATTTAATCTTGTGGAATTTAATTGCACGAAAGAGCCTTTTGAGTAAAGCACAATTTTATTGTTTCATGAAAACGTAACGATTTTGAGGTTCCATCAAAGTTTTATCTTTTGTAAATCGTTATTTTTTTTTCTCTTAATTTTAGACATTTGTGAATAATTACATCGCAAGGTATTTCTTCAGTAAAAATAAGTCACTTCTAAGCTAGCGAACGGTTAATTTATAAATTGGAAAAGGATTGTTAAAGGTGTATGTCTGGAGCGCGGCGCTGTACGGGTGCGAAACATGGACGAAGTTTTCGAAATGTGTTACAGGCAAATGATGAGGATACCGTGGACAAAGAAGGTTATAAATGAAGAGGTATTAGAAAGAATAGGAGAACAGAGGACTGTATGGAAATCAATAAGAAATAGGCGAGATAGGTTGGTAGGACACTTTCTCAGGCATGAAGGACTAGTCAGAGACATATTAGAATCAGAAACAGGAGTTAATAGGAGTAGAGGTAGACCTACTTCTACTAAAGAAAAATGTAAGGTATCGTTTCTGTGTAACGCATAATAAGATGCAATTGCAGTTCGTTTGACTTGTTATCATTGAAAATCAAGGTAAATGCTAAAGACTGAAGACTCGATTTCGTTTATCAATGCATACGCATTACCGTTTCACTGCTGTCTAGAAGTGACGCAGATTTGATGAAGGTCGGAAACTATATCGCCTTTGTTTTCTGATTAAATTGCATCTGTTTATTAAAAAATTGTTACCAGTGTTAGATTGTTATTGAGAAAGGTTGTTGACTGTCCGTTTTAATTCAAAAAAAAAGCAAAACTTGTTTATGATTTCGACCAGTAGCTCCAAGGTAAGTCCATTATTAGTCTCAAAGGTCCTAGGTTCAAATTTCACCTATTAAACATTACAAACAATAAATTATATTAATATTATCACTGCCCTTACTAAAAGTCACCCTGAGAACACACCTAGTGGACTAACAGTTAATTTTCCGCAAATTAAAAAATACTTATCTTCTGTCTTCGATTTGGGTTTTAACAAATACTATAAAAACGTTATTTATTTCTCTAAAACAAATTGGGGCAAATCAAGTTCCTGCAGCTTGTAGGGTTATAAAATTTGTAAGTAAATTCTTACACTATAATATATATTTCTTTGGAAATTGCCTGAAAGTAGAAAAATTTATTTAAAGTTAAGGTTTTATTTCATCCCCTTATTATATACCAATATTGAAAAGAATCAAGCCAAAACAGAGTTACAAAGTATCTATGTTAATTTTAAAGGTAGGTGCTTTTTACCTTTAAATCACTCGTTGAAAAAGACTCATAAACGAAGGCGAAAGGTTAACCCTACTTTACATACATTTTTTCCAACTTATTTAAGGTATGCTTATTTTATTACAAACTAGTGACCCGCCCCAGCTTCGCACGGGTGCAATGCTGATACTAAATATATTTTTGTTTTGTTTAGATTATTGTCGAAAAGGGGAAATCGTCAAAAGATACCTCCTGAACATACTAAATATACTACAGAATGTCGTTATATACAACATTCACAGTTTTTTTGTTATTAGACAATACAAACCGGCCGGTACCGCCGCAACCGCTATGTCCCTGCATATTAAATCTGTAATATCTTCGAAAATATTCATTTAAATTACATGTTGTAAAGGGCCATATTGATCTATATTAAATGCACAATGTATTTAAGGTACTTAATTGGATAAGAATTAATACTGTATTACCTACAATCGCTTCGTAAATAAGTCATTATTTCTCATAAAAAGTAAAGGATAATGGTTATTGTGGGTTATCTCTAAGAGATAGACATATACCATCCCGGACTTTTTTGTAGACCCTTTTAAGATGTACAATATTGTAGTACATTTTGATCTATCTCGTAGGGTTCAGCCAGCGTTTGCTATGTAAGCGCAAAAAATGTGTTTATTTACGACATCACATTAGAAACCTCTAAAATTATCAGTGTTTCCCTACTATATTATGCATGTATTATACATATAAACCTTCCTCTTGAATCACTCTATCTTTTAAAAAAAACTGCATCAAAATCCGTTGTGTAGTTTTAAAGATTTAAGCATACATAGGGACAGACAGCGGGGAAAGCGACTTTGTTTTATACTATGTAGTGATTATTCCTTTACTATGCCTTGTTGTAAGGCAATGTGGGTTTTACAAGGACATAATTTGCACCATTATCCCCCTTGTATATACCTAGTAGGCACTACCTAACAACAAAACCCCTAAATCTGTAGGTCTTTTATCAATCAGATTGATTAAAAAAGTATTTAATGTAATATGTTTCTTCATTATTTGCTTGCAGATTTTCTGTAATTTATGAATTTACATTACAGTCATGTAACAACTATAGGTCAAACAAACTAGATTTAGACAGAATAAAAATTATTGTAATCGTTTTTATAACAAAAGAGTACATTGATTTAATTAATGTGTAATAGGCATCTCGTAATGTCTAAAGTTTTCTTTATGGAATGCAAATCCTTGACCTGCCAATGTGCATGAAGAAAAAATATTTTCATGATTAGAATTCAATGATTTCAACTGTTTATTTCTTAACCTACTATCATTACGACACGTTACCTACACTAAAACTGTTTCGTTACAAATACTTACCATAGAAAAGTGTGTATTATTTGTCTTTAAAGTTACTTAATAGTAATACGCAGGGTCGTAGCGAGGCCGGTTCAAGCGGTGCGGCGCAGTCGAGGGGCCCCTTAGCACTTTTCTGTTTTCAAAAAATGACATTTAAAAAAGACTATGCTGTTAGAGATGAGCTGAGTCAAACTACGAAATGAACATCATAATTTATCACGTTGAGGTGAGCTACGCCGGGATTCGTTTCAACAAGTAGATATCCATATATTTAAATGGACCTTGTTGGAGCATATGTAATCCTCAAATGTATCATCGTACTACAGATGGCGCTCACCACGCCATTAGTAGTATTTTCTAAAACGCGCTGTTAAGACAGCAGGTAAAGGTTGGTNTTAGAGATGAGCTGAGTCAA